AAGCAGTTACTGGGAGGTTTCTTATGCCTTTGAATACCCCATTCATGGATTCAATCAGATTTGTTGTCATATGGCCCCATCGCTGTCCATTGTCATATGACCTAGTCCATTTCTCAACCGGAATGTTATCGATCTACCTATCAGCGTATGAATTTGACAATCGGATCTCGTTACGATAATATTTGAACGTAGGTTGTGTCAATGCATACCCCGCATTCATAACCGCTTTCCTAAGAGATTTGTCTTTGATCTCCCTCGTAAAATTTTGGATGATATGTCTAATGCAATAGACATGCATAGAAGGAGGGCCATGCCAACCGTTTGTAGGATTATTGTATACACTCTCAATAGATGCATGTCTATCAGAGATCAAACAGAGATCTGGTTGAGGAGCTACGTGTGTTCAGAGATTCTTGAGAAAGAAGCTCCAAGCACCACCAGTCTCTCCCTCGACTAGGGCAAAGGCAATTGGGAAAATGTTATTGTTTCTATCTTGTGCAACTGCCATCAGTAGCATACCTTTGTATTTCCCATACAACAAAGTCCCATGAATTTGAATAATTAGTTTGCATGACGCAAACCCTGTGATTCAAGGTTGAAAATCCCAGAACACTCGACTGAATATTCCATTTCTGGTGATTTGACTACCATCTGGGGCGTATGTCGGCAGTGTTTCCATAATGTAAACAGTACCCGGAGAATAAGTCTGAAGTGCATTCAGGTAGAGAGAAAGTTCTTTGTATGACTCCTCCCAGTTTCCATATACCTTTCCAATCGCCTTGGTCTTTTCTAACCACACCTTTCGGTATGACGGAGTATAGTTAAATACCATAGTGATGTGAGAGATTATGGTTTTCACCTTTAATGATGGATCATTGTTGACGAGGGGTAGGATTTCTTGACATATGAGATCATAATTTAGTTTCCGATGATCCCGTGATTGAGTAGAATTGACACACGTGTGGGTGGACATAGAACCTATGACCCAACAATCACCTTTTAATTTGTATGATGCAGTGATCTTGAATATACAATCTGGATGGATACACTTGATCCTGTACCTTTCTAGATTTACACGATCTACCTTAAAATCGACCGAGTTGAGCATTTGAAACTTTTTTATGGCTCGGATACATTCTTCTCTATTACGAAATTTGTCTTCCTCTTTTAAGTTTTCATCCGATTGCATATACGGATTGAAAAATAAATCAGATGACGGTTCATCTCCGCCCATGTTGAAGTTTGTCATGTGTGGAAGTGGTGTGTAGATCTTGTTTGAAGGTATACCAGGTATCCCATCGTCTTCAGAGTCATCATTGACCATGTCGTCAAACTATAACTCGTCATCTTCTTCTTCGTCGTCAACGACATCTACTTTTGCTTGTTCGATCTCGAGAGGATCAACCACTTGTGACAGCTGAGGCTCTCGCAACATAATGTACAACTCAATAGAGTCATACCCAGAATAATCATGACTGGAAAACATATTCTGAAGGTCCTCGTCATCTTGAACCTCAGCCTTATAAAATATTATCTGGTTGTTACCAAAATAAATCGGATTCTGATAAAAGATTTGTGTCACGAAATCTCGTCCAAGTTTGGCCTCCAATCATTTTTTGAAATATAAGAAATTGGATTTCCTGTTAAAACAAAATCGGATGTTCTCAGTGTCTCTAAACAAAAATCCAGAGGTGGCACAAATGTATGTCTCACCATTGAAATGTGCACTGATCACATATTATAGTGCAGAGGCTATTGTATTTGACTGTTTGAAGGTTTGAATATTTGAAGGTTTAAGTGTTTGATTGTTTGAGTTTTTAAATGTTCGAGTGTTTGAGTGATTGAGTGTAAAAGTGTTTTGATAAATATAGGATTAAATAGGTTGTACTGAATTTGAATAAAACAACAGTAAACAACCTCTAATTCTCCAACTGGGATGTCCAATCGTATTACATGCATGCAGAGATGCCTTCCCCAAGGCTGTCACCTAGCCTGCACCTACACTGCAACCCATGCCACCTCTAATTTGCCAACAGGGATGGCGACACCTTTCATTTTTGTACTCATTCTCCAAGTCCAATGGCGCCTCCCTACACGTCCAATCGTATTACATGTATGCAGAGATGCCTTCCCCAAGGCTGCCACCTAGTTTGCACCTGCACTGCAAGAGTGACACTTATCATGCATGCATGCACCCACCAACCACCTCACTTACTCTGTGATAAAATTTTGCCTATAAATACAGAGCCTCACATACTTCTATTGCATCCACAATTATCTCACTCTCTGCTACAAAATCTTTCATAATCTCAGACAATTTCAACAATGGCTCTTCTCACAATGGGCGATTCTCACAGAGGCACAAGGGACAACATTGCAGCGTTTGTAAGTTTCTTATATACTTATACATTTTTCATACTTGTATTAATTCTTTATACATCTTATGGACTCTTACACTTTTTACATTCTTAACTTAGGATACTAAAAGATTCAGAATCCGGTCACACAACTACCTTGCTCCTGACCCGTTGATCGTACCCTATCTCGAATATGCAGGTTTCGAAAATGTTATAAAGATCTCCAACTGAACCATTGATTCAAAGTTCATACTTGCAATGTTGGAAAGGTGGATACCAGAGACCCACACATTTCATCTATCAATAGGTGAATGTACCGTCACACTAGAGGACATGTACATGTTATTGGGTCTCCCTGTCGACGGTAAGGCGGTTAACGGGTCGGTTCAGCAGCCCAATTCTCTGTGCGAAAAATTGTTGGGCAGGGATATGTTTGAAGGTGGTGGTGTGAGAGGCCATGGTATACTACTTACTGAGCTCAAAAATCATTATGCGACTCTGGAATTGAACGCACATTCCTCTGAGCTAGCTAAGGTAATAAAAGCTAGAAATTATATACCAACCACAATCACCACCTCAATACCAATACCCTCATATGCCCCACACCCAACCACAATTTCAATCACAATACCAATACACCTGCATGCCCCACACACAATTTCAGTCTTCTACATATCCCAATATGGGCCCCTCAACATCTAACCTTAGCCCTGATCTGGGATTTTCCGAAGATTATGAACCAACCGACCCAACTTACCATCAACCACCACATCACCAAACCACCCAACATTCCCAATACCAAACACCCCATGATTCATTTCCTTTCTACCCCCCGTACTCAGACGACCAGTGCTATAGATCAACTATAGAACCCCACCCACCACCAACACGACCAAACTTTGAGGGTATGGGTAACCGACTGTACTAAAGCGGATCTTCTAGATATGGAGATCTGACCGATTTCATGGATCCAGAACGCATTGACTTTGTTGGGCCATCGACCCTGCCACAACATGAAACGCGACAAAACCCAGCACGGGAAAGACGGGGACGGGGATGCGGAACCGCGGGTCGTTACCGAATTCTAGGGGACCACTGATTATTTTGTTTTTTTTATGTAATCGTTTTGTGTAATCATATTATATAAATAAAAATTCGAATTTTTGTGATCCTATATCGTTTACGTAACGTACCGCATTTAAAATAAAAAACGCGAAAAATCGTCTGCCCATTGCACTAAGGCGCCATCTCACTTGGCTTAGGGCACAAATTTAACACCTAGGCGCCAAGTGAGATGGCGTCTCCCCTTTAAAATAAGGTGTAGGCGCCAATTGAGATGACTCCTACCTTGTGGGATTTTCTGAAACATGATTATTTGCGGGAAAAAATTTTAATACCTGATTATTACAAAAAAAAAAAATTCAATATTAGGACATAATATATTTTTCATATATATCTTGAATATGGATCACCAATAATTAATCTACCATTATTTTTTTATTATATAATAATATTTATAATTTCTTTTTTCAATCTATAATTTTCTAACTCGTCACACAAAGTTACAAAAGTATTTATGAAAATTGGAAATATATTTTCGAGACGCATCAAGATTTAATAAAATATAGATTAAAATCAGAATTTAATTTTCAATTTATATTCGAATTTATATTTTTAATTTTATGCTACACAGAAAACAAAAAACAGCATTATGTGTGATGCATAGAGCACATTGAAAATATTATTTCTGATTTCAAGAAATATTTTAAAAATTGTATAGAATTTTTCTTTTCAGGGTAGAGTAGAAAGGGAAATTCTCATTCTCATAATATTTTAGTCGTTCACAAAAGATAGGGAAATTCTCATTCTCATAATATTTTAGTCGTTCACAAAAGATCATATTCACTGTATTAACCTTCCCTCTACATCATATTCACTATGCTAACCTTCCCTCTACACCGTTATCGTTTACAAATGAATATATTAATGAAAAAACTTAGGCGCATTATATTAAGTGTGGTTTATACTTTTTTCCAATACAAATATAGTGAGGATATAATTTCATCATTCACATGTAAATTTTTCATATTTTTACTCCCTAAAAATATTTTGATATATTTGTCATACTTTTATTGGTGAACTACACCTATGGAATTGTATCTAAGTATTCTCTTATATTAATTTAGAATCAATCCAACAAAAGTTTAGGTCTTAAATTAATTTTAGATTACATATTCTTTTAAAATTAAAAGTATGTTTGATTAATAATATTCTATTTTACTTAGATTTTAACCGTTAATATTAATTTCTCTATTCTTAAAATGAAATTTTAATGATTCATATTAATTGTGACTATGAACATTGCTGATTGCTTTGCTACAAGAAAATTGTATTAGTTCTTTTTTTAACACAAAAAAAATTTGTCAAGGTAAGACAATGCATCCACTAGATAAGCATACACATTCATTATTTAAAGAATAAGAAAATGTTGTTTATCAACAACAAATGTTACCCAAAAAAACGCCCCTTTCTCATTTACATCTATAGGAGAAATGGTTAAATTATATCATATCAACCACACTGCACACCTTATCATTCAAGAATTATGTTACAACAAAATCAAATGAATGTCATCATAACTTATCAAAACCTAGTTAAAAAAATGTTTAGCATGGCAGTTAGCAACAAAAAGAATGTCAATGTTCTACCAATTAAAAAGGTAGAAGCTGAAGAAATATTGTGTGCACCCACTGTATGTACTACTCCAGTTGTTGCATCCTTCACTTTAATGCTGGAAGAGCCTAAACAAACAATAACCAAAAGAAATTAAGCATGAGATTCATGCGGATTAGATAGCTACTACAATAGATGAAGCTACTTGTTACTCACAATTGTAGTCAACCCATCCAATGGCCATATTCTCAAGATCATATAAGACTAGTTTGTTTGATAGCACCAAATCTGAAATTGAAAATAATTTAAGTTAATAAATGATATTAACACATCCAAAACATTTGAAATGAACTGGGAATTGATAGATAAGAAAGGTTTAATCTAGAAAATGCAGATCAATGCTAAATCTCATCAATTGCGCTGGGAATTTAAATTTATCACCAAAGGCAACAAGACAATTGTGCAATATCTAGGCCGAATTCAGCAGATAGCTGATATTCTTGAATCGATTGGAGATCCTGTATCTCATTGCGATCTACTTGAAGCTGCACTAGATGGACTGCCTAATGAATATCAAGCTTTAACCTCAATAATTCAATATTGCGATGAAGTGTGTCCTATGATAATTGCATAAACAGTGTTCCTATTTCATGAAGCTAGACTTGAACGCATCAAGAAGGCTACACTCATTGAGCCTCTAGTTGTGAATCTCACTCAAGGTTCACCCTCCACATAGATCTCTCACGAATGAGTCCAATCTCAAGTTTCGCAACAGTTAGGTCAAAATCCTCACCAACAGTTCAACAGCAATCGCGGTGGTTCTGGAGGAAGGAATAATAATTTTCGAGGTCGTGGAGGTCGTTTTCGCAGTGTCAGATCTGCTTCAAAACTGGCCATGAGCAAGCATTTGCTATCACTGGAGTCGAATCAGTAGCTCAATCCAATGATTCATCTTCTCAAATCTAGAACCTTCTCAATGAGGCATTCTTCATCATCTCTCACTTCTCTCATTATTTGACTGCTGCTTTAATAGAGAGAAGATCCCGTTTGGAGTCATGAAAACACCATATGCTTGTTCCAAGGATTAGCTTGCTGATATCGCCACCAAGTATGCGGGGTCCTCGGATAACATACATTTGCAACAAGCTTGTATTGGGATAATATTTTTAACCAAACCCAATTCCCTAATCTTTGGGTATTGATGTAGCTGCCCTCATGTATAACTATTGTACATTCCAATTGGTGCGATATGAGGAATACAATATTTCAGCTTTAAGTATTTATAAGTGATATTTAATTCTAAAGTGTACCTCCAAGAAGTGTCATGTCCTTTCCATCCTTAGTCTCTGTTACACTTCTCTGCCAGCCAATGCACTGCATAGCACCATTCTAGGGGACAAAAATAAGAAGGAAAAATAATATCAAGAAACAATAATAGTAGTTACATACCAGCGACACGTTTAACATACTGAGCAATTCAAAAATAAATTGAAAACATACTTAATATATCAGTAAAATTATCCAAATGGCAATTTAAACCATCATTGAAGTCCACAGTTAACAAGGAATAGACAATCAGATTAGACCCTTTAATGTATAATCATTAATCACATAATATCTCTACACGTATTATATATGCCACTTAATAAGCATGAATGATAAAACACAATACATGGACCTGGGTACAACTCTGACATCAGAAAGGGAGAAATCAATTCAAACATGTTGAACTTTATACAAAGTTACTTGTCATTTGAGTATCCAGCATCAACAAAATTTCTCAATTTAGAATCTGGGTATATCTACAAGGAATAATGAAGTTCATACTCACCCTATATGGGAACAGGTAGTCATGAGGATGAACTGTCAGAGAAAGAGAATCCTCGAAATGTAGCTTGACAACTGGAAATCCAGCATCAACACTGCAAGGTTACAACGGTCAATATATTAAAGGCTCAACCATATGCCAGAGAATCAAGTGAATTGCTTCTTGAATTGATAAAATTCAGCTTTCAAACAGTAAGAAATAAGCATCATTTAAACAATTCATCGTAGTTAAAATTTTAAAGAGCCCTCTTGAACATATAGCTCTTTTGTAATATAAAATTATATGCATATGTAGCAACTAGCAACAAAAAGCTTTTACAGCTGTAGTCTACTTAAAATAATTATATCTACAATTATTTGCAGACAACAATTCAACCAACTGAACTGATCCTTTCACAAGCTAAGGAAAAGGCCAAAAAACGAAGCCCAAAAATGAAAATGAAAAGGACTGAGAATGCAGTCATTTCATCAAGAAGCTAATCAAGGAGTTCTAATAGGAGCTGATCATTAATTTTAAAGTCCTTCTTGAACGGGAGACCAAGACTCCTGAATATCTTGGATAGGAGTTGTTTTATACCTATTCTATCATTGTCTCTCTAAACCTTCTCCAAGTACTGGTGTGTTAATTCCGTATTAATAATATAAACGGCTGTTCTAGACAAATTCTGCAGAGAGTTGTTCTATCATTTTTGTTTTCTTTTCTTTAACTCATTCACTATAGATACCAGTTTCTATCATATACTAAAATTTTATCTTAGTAGAATCCCACTTGCAACTGTTACATGTCCTATATTTTATACTTATCTTTTTCCATCCGCTGGTTTCAGAATATTGGATTATTAATATTATCAAATTAGCAAAATAAGACATTTTGGAAGATATAAATTATAATTAAATGAAAATATGATGTTGTCACCATAATTGTTGCCTAATGGGATGAATAAGCAATAAAATAAATCTCTAGAAACTCTGAAAAATCATCTGGTATCCTAAGCCATTAAAAAACAATGATGAATCAAACAAATAGATCACACCTTAATATTAATAAATGATAATAATTTAGATATATCAGATAAAGTTGAAATCTCTATAAACAAATGTCACAATGGTAGGTGGCGTACTTTCCCGAATACCAAAGACAGTGAAAATTTTGCTCTTCAATAGATGATTTCAATCCAGGCTGCCGAGCCAAAACCTATCATAAAGAACTATCATAAGTACTCCAGAAGAAATATTAATTGAATTAATGTTTTATAGAAATATATACCTTAGGAATTAGTTGGTCATAAACTATGTCAGGAAGATAAGCCAAGGTTGTTCCACTATCAATCACTGTCCCCTTTCCATTTCCAGAATCAAATATATCCGAGGGAAGCTGTAGAATTTCATCATCAACCTCAATATTCTTCAAAACAACATTGTAATGTGCCCTACAATATAGTCAACAGAGTAAAGTTATGGCATAATTACAATCCCAAAAGCTAAACTGGATACCAAATACATTTTGAGTATCTGAAAGAACATTTCATGGAAATTTTTCAAAGCTTAAACAAGTGGTCTCAGATGAATATACCAGCATAAAAAATAAAAGACTTAAGAGCAACAAAGACAGTATAGGATAAGTTCATCCTTTCACCTATTGGAACTGCTTGAGAGAAACACACTCAGCTTTTGTTACTTAAAACTAAAAGAATACATTCATATCAATAATCAAATCCCTTGAATATATATAGGGATGAATAAACTAACAACCCTAATCTACTAGAGAGATTTTCTCAACAGAGTATAACTGAAATCTAAACATATCTTAACATGTATAACTAATAGCTAGAACGATAAAAATCGAACTTCATATGCCCAGAACTTTTTAGAATTTCAAAATTGAAGTAAAAGCCCACAAGACACAATAATAAGGTGATATAAAAAATGGAGAATCACAAGAAACAACAGATGGAAGCCTACTCTCAATCCAAGGTTAACACACAACCATGCCTATGAGGATTCCCATCAAAGATACATAAAATAATTCAATACTCTAGCAAATTTCTTTTCTTCTGCTAATAGTATGTACGGCTCCATGGGGGAATTCTATATCAACCTAGACAATATTATGATAATTTGATCATGAATTGAGGTTTCACTATTTATAAGAGATTGTGCATCTGCAAGTTTTGCCTTGGATTTACATGACAACCAATATCAAGGCATGAGAGCAAAAGACTTGTTTGATGAACATACATATTAGGTACCAATGGAGTTGTACTGACTTTTGGTTCCACCAATTCCCCTATGGCAAATATTCCACCACCACGAATAGTGTCAAGGCAGTGTGAAAATATTTTTTTCACCTTTCGCGATGCAGCAAGCTGTGAAAGCACAGAGGAATTCGCTTGTCCAAAACCAATTATTCCATCAAGGGCTTCGTCATTAGATGAACCCAATAAGCCAGATTGTACAGCGCCACACCTGTCAGCAAGTGAAAACTCAGATACAAAAGAGGGGAATAAGAAATGTTAAACCAGTGACTTTATTCTTTAATTCTTTATCAACCTAGGAAATAAATCTTTCTAAATACAGAAACTCCCCACTCGAATGGAAAGTATTCAAGTAGCGTAAAACAATTAACTCAAAAGGAAATGAAATCTTTGTGCAAGGCCAAGATAACCTAGTCGTCATGAGAAAAAAGAACAAGAACCCCTAATGATATTATACAACAAACATGATTGTGCGAAAACTCAACAACATACAATACAACGCCAATTATAGAGAAAAAGTAATAACAATTGTCACCCGAAAATGATGCTGCTATTTTCTGATGCAGTATGGAGGTTTCCAGTGACAGTATCAAAAGTAAGAAAATCCTTAACATAGTATCCGGTAGTTGCACTTCCATCTCCATAAGTTATACTATAAGGGCAGGGTGTTTCCGCTTTACAACCAGGAATTGGACCGTCATACGTCGAAGAGCAAAACTCATGGTCGCAAGCAATTAACTCCGAAGTATCAGACCCGTTTGGATCATAGAGAGTCAAGTCCATCTTTCGTAACATAACAAGAATAAAGAAAATACAAAATTCAGTAAGCGTTCAGGTCAACATAACTTTGACTTAACAGAAAATGTATACATACACCGATATCGCTTTTCTTGGGACATCTTGAGCACTCAATACAATTCACCCATAGAACATCACTTCCTGTATCAACTTGAACATAGTAGTCCTTCTTCGGAGAGCCAAGCCCGAGTTTTGTGTAATACAACCTAAATAACAAGTAAGCTAATATAAACCTATAATAATATATTATAATTTAGCTCAACTTCCATTTTTTCAACTCCGGCGATTTTCAAAGAATTTGCAGTCATTTTATATTGCCAACAACAACAACAAAATTCATAACACATAATTACATACTTTTTTTAGAATGAAATAAAATTGAAAAGACGAACCCGGTTTGAGTAGGAACACCGTTACCGCCGAGGCTGATATCAACGGTGGAGAGAAATCTACCTCGGCGGCGATCATCGTGATCTTTAATTCCACTTAAATTCGTTTTCCGGCGCTCCACCTGAAAAACTAAATTACCATTCGCAACAACGCACAAGATTTCCAAAACTATTGTAATCCATAAAAATTTCAGATCCATTGATCAATTCAGTTTTCAATTCAGCTTCAACTTAATCAAACTGAACCAAAAAAAACTCGATTCAAATTGAGCTAGTTCGAATTGGAATGAAGTAACGGTGATTACGAGAGGAGACGAACAATCTAACCGAATAGAGGAGGAAAAAAACAGAATTACAGTAAACTACACTCTGGGAATTCTTTATTTTTTAAATATTTCACTTCAGTTTCGACGCGGATACGCGTCGTTTTGTATATTAGTGGTGTCGTATCTTATCTCTTCTTCTTGTTTTTGGAAAATTTTAGGTAACAAGTTTCTTTCTAGTCAATAGTAGATCTACTTTTTCAAAATACTTTTTATTTAATATATATACAGATAGTATACAGATGTTTTGAGCTAAATTTTCCACTAATTTTTGTGTTTATTTTATAATTGTTTATTAATCAATTTGATGTGATTATAATAATTAAATATTATTGACTAAATCATTTAAATTATGACTTATTTTTGTATTTTTATAGTTAATATGACTTTTTTTTGTATTTCTATAGTTAGTATGTTTATGATATATTTCATACGATGTAATTTAAATAATGAGCATTTATTTTATAAATATAATAATATTTGATTATAATTATTTAGTGTTAATTTATATCTTGTGTATTAAGATTATAACCTTCTCTAGTTTATAATTTATAATGTGTTTATAATTTATAATGTGTTTAAAATAATATTTTTAATTAAGATATGAATCGTTTTTATATGTTTTGTTATTTATTCTTATTAAATAATTGATTATTACCTTGAATTTAATTAATATAGTTAATAGATGATCTAAACAATTAATTAAATTCTTTTAGTTTTATTATTTTCTTTTGACTATATTATTTCCAAAAAATAATTAGTTGATCCTTTAAATCAACTATGAGATTGAAATTGTTATTAGATATTTAGTTTATTATTTATTTTAAGATAAAGTAGTTTTTCAATTTTATTATTGTTCTGGATAAATTTTAAGTGAGTTTGTTAAGTCTATTGGGTCCAAGAGATTTGATCCAATTGCCTTGAATACTAGAATCGAGAGAGTGTGAGTGTTGAAGAAAAACCAACATTCTCTTCTTGTTGAAAAAATGCTGTGAAAAATCCTAATCGCCACCACCACTTTCCTTGCTCTGTTTCTGGTCGCTACCATCCCCAATGAAAAATATATATATTATTTCTCCTTATCATCTCATCTCTCTAATGAATCGATTAGATTCTTGTTTCGAGCAATCTCGTCGTCAACCACTGTTCTCTTTTTTCGACAACCGCAGTTAAAAATGAAGGTTGAGAGACATTTTTAAGCTCTCCTTCGTTCGTGCTCTTTGATAAACCAAGCAGATTTTGATTTGAGTGCTTTTCGTCATTTTTCTTCTTCTAGCCGACAGCTTTGCTTCGTTCTGCTCGTCACCGGGCAGCATGCTTCTCTCTCTGTGCAACTCTTCCGGGCAACGTACAGAGCTTCTTATTCTCCAACTAAAACAATTCTTTATGTCAGCTTAGCCTTATATAACAATCCTCTTGGGCCTAACCTACACCCCCACTTTACTACTTCTAACCAATAGCATAAGTCCAACATTATTTCATATATTCCCTTTAATTTCACATTATAATTATCATTAATCAACTAATTAATTAATTAATAATAATCCAACAACTCATACCGATAATTCTTAATATCATGCAACTTCACAAATAATCAAAAAATAATTTTATTAAATAAATAATTAATTAAATTACGCGTGTTACAACTATCCCCCACTTTGAATATTTTCGTCCTAAAAAATTTACCTCATTCGAACAACTCAGAATAGGAGTCCCGCATCTTGCTTTCCAACTCCCAAGTCATGCTTTCTCCAACAACTCCTAACCAGACTACTTTCACCAAAGCAATCTCCTTTCCTCTCAGAGTCTTCATTTCACGATCCGCAATTTGTACAGGCATCCTCTCAATAGTAAGATTATCCCGCACTTGTACATCATCCACATGAATCACATGAGATGGATCTGAAATATACTTCCGGAGTTGTGACACATGAAACACATTATGCAAATTCGAAAGATTGGACGGTAAAGCCACTCTATAAACCATATTCCCAACTATTTCTGAAATCTGATATGGACCAATAAAACAAGAAGTGAGCTTCTTATACTTCAATGCTCGCCCAACACCAGTTACAGGTGTAACTCTCAAAAACACATGGTCACCAGCTTGAAATTCCAAATCCTTCCTTTGCTTATCATGATAACTCTTCTGTCTACTTTGGGAAGCTTTCATCTTTTCCCGAATTATCTTCACCTTCTCAGTAGTCTCACTAACAAGTTCAGGTCCAAGCATTACACTTTCTCCAGATTCATGCCAACATAAAGGAGTTTTACATCTCCGACCATACAACGCTTCAAAAGGTGCCTTCCCAATACTATAATGGTAATTATTATTATAAGTGAACTCTATTAGTGGAAGATAAGTATCCCAGGAACCTCCCTTCTTAAGAACACATGCTCTCAACAAATCCTCCATTGATTAAATAGTCCTTTCTGTCTGAACATCCATCTGAGGATGATGCGACAAACTCAACCTCAACTTAGACCCTAACGCCTATTGCAAACTCTTCCAAAAATCATAAGTAAACCCCAGATCTCTATTTGACACAATGCACAAAGGAACACCATGCAGCTTTACAATTACACTAGTGTAAATCTCAGCCAACTTCGACACTGGAAAGCTGATGTTAATAGGAATAAAATGAGCCAACTTCGTAAGCCTATCAACAATCACCCAGATCCAATCACGTCCACTTAAAGTATTAGGTAACCCCATCACAAAGTCCATCGAAATGCTATCTCATTTCCACTTTGGAACTTCTAACAGTTGCATCAACCCTGCAGGCTTCTGATGTTCAACTTTTGACTTCTGATAAGTCAAACATGCATACACAAACCGAGCCACATCACTCTTCATCCCAGGCCACCAAAACAAATTCTTCAAATCCTGATACATCTTTGTAGGTCCTGGATGAATACTAAGCTTACTTCTATGACTCTCTTCAGGGATCACTTTCTTCATCTCTGCATCATCAGGAATACAAATCCGATTACGAAATCTCAACACACCCTGCGCATCTAACTTAAAATCACTATTCTCATACTAATCGATCCCAACCATCGAATCTACCAGTTTCACATCTAACTTCTGAGCTTCTCTAATACTATCCAGAAAATCATTATTAATCTTCAACATTCCCAACATAACACTCTGCGGTGTCACTTTGTAAACTAAGCTCATATCTCTGAACTATTTAATTAATTCTAACTCTTTAACCATCATTGATGACATATGTAAAGTCTTTCGACTCAACACATCAGCTACCACATTCGCTTTTCCTGGATGATAATTCAAACTGAAATCGTAATCCTTTAACAACTCCAACCATCTTCGTTGTCTCATATTCAGTTCCTTCTGATCAAATAGATACTTTAAGCTCTTATGGTCACTAATCACTTCAAATCTAGAACCATAAAGATAATGCCTCTAAATCTTCAACATAAAAACAACTGCGGCAAGCTCTAAATCATGTATAGGATAGTTCTTCTCATGAGTCCTCAACTGCCTTGACGCATAAGAAATTACCTTATCATTCTGCATAAGCACACCTCTTAAACCCATCTTAGAAGCATCATGTTGTACCACAAAATTTTCCCTCCCATATTTCTCAATACATGTCAAGTGAGGTCCTCAAATTGCTCAAAGAAGTCCAAGAGTTGACCAGACAAACTCTCTCCTAAGGCAGTCTATCTCAAATTAGGGTTTCATTTTGCATCAAGATGCTTGAGTCAAAAGGATCTCAAATGCTCACCATTGCCCTAATATTTTCTCAAGATCATCCATGTCAAGTTTCAAGCCTTGCAGAGGAAGTTTGCTCAGACAACTACTCAAATGCCTAAAAATCGACTACGCTAGGGCAATAGTCAACTGTGGCCCACATACAGTCAAACTTCAAGATTTTTGGTCAAAATTCTCATTTTTAAGTATTATTCATCATTTTATCAAGGGTTGATAATGATTCCTCAATGATTGCTCACAATTCATCAAAACCCAAAAGTTGCTAAATTAGGGTTTTGTAGGAAAAGTCAACTCAACTTTGACCAAGCATAAGTTTCTCATACTTTATCAAAAATAACCCATCAAAATCTCATTTTGAAGAGGATGTAATTCCCAACAATTCATCTTCAGCTCCCAAGTTCAAAATATGCACTCACAAGAAGATATGAATTTGGACATTATAGGTCATTTTGAAAAGTCAACAAAAACACTTTTTAGGTCAAAGCTTCATACATGAACATGGAAGAATCAATTGATATGATACCAAAAGGGTTGCTTAGAGGACATCCTAAGCTTTCTAAAAAGTCCGATAACACATCTCTAGGGTCAAAATTGAGAGAGTTATGCATTGGCCAAGTTGACCCTTTTTGCAAAATTGCCCAAAGTCAAATGTGTCCAAAATTGCATTTTTTGCTAAATGGGCCCAACTTTTTATGCTTGTACTGAGTTTGTAATGTGATCCACGACCCATGATCCCTTCCACTTGTCATTCTTTTATTTTTGTTATTTATTTTGATTTTATTTCATTTAAATCAAATAAAATCAATATAAAATAATGAAATTATCAAAAACTAATTAAACCTTGAGATTTTGTGCATGATTAGGGTCATTATACAGCTGGAGACAAGATCAAATCGTGCAAAGCTTCATATGGACAAAAAAAGATTGAAAATGCTTGTTTTGGAAAGATTTGGTGCAAGGATTAAATCATGGATCAATCTTCATAATCGGAAAAGATTTGATACAAACTTTAACCCGAATGCACTCTATTATACATAAGGAACAAAGGCAGACCAAAAAGAAGAGGCTGGAGGCGTGCAAAGGCAGAGAACCAATTGCAAAAATTCAAGGAAAAAGTGCAAACTAAATTCCAAGTTTC